ACTGTCATTGTCACACTGTCACTGTCACACTGTCACTGCCCCCCCGGTTCAGGAGGCACATCTGGATCAAGAGAGGTGACACTGTCATTGTCACACTGTCATTGTCACACTGTCACTGTCACCCTGTCACTGCCCCCCCGGTTCAGGAGGCACATCTGGATCAAGAGAGGTGACTCTGTCACTGTCATTGTCACACTGTCATTGTCACACTGTCATTGTCACTGTCACACTGTCACTGTCACCCTGTCACTGCCCCCCCGGTTCAGGAGGCACATCTGGATCAAGAGAGGTGACACTGGCACTGTCATTGTCACACTGTCATTGTCACACTGTCATTGTCACTGTCACACTGTCACTGTCACCCTGTCACTGCCCCCCCGGTTCAGGAGGCACATCTGGATCAAGAGAGGTGACACTGTCATTGTCACACTGTCATTGTCACACTGTCACTGTCACATCACTGTCCCACTGTCACTGTCACCCTGTCAGTGCTCCCTCAGTTCAGGAAGCACATCTGGATCAAGAGAGGTGACTCTGTCACTGTCATTGTCACACTGTCACTGTCACACTGTCATTGTCACTGTCATGGTCACACTGTCATTGTCACTGTCACTGTCACACTGTCATTGTCACTGTCACTGTCACCCTGTCACTGCCCCCCTGGTTCAGGAAGCACATCTGGATCAAGGGAGGTGACTCTGTCACTGTCACTGTCACTGTCACACTGTCACTGTCACACTGTCACTGTCACACTGTCACTGTCACATCACTGTCACGTTGTCACTGTCACCCTGTCAGTGCTCCTCTACTTCCAGAGGCACATCTGGATCCAGAGAGGTGACATTGTCATTGTCCCACTGCTCTTGTCACTGTCACCCTGTCACTGCTCCCCCGATTCAGGAGGCACATCTGGATCAAGAGAGGTGACTCTGTCACTGTCACACTGGCACTGTCACACTGGCACTGTCATCACTGTCCCACTGTCACTGTCACCCTGTCAGTGCTCCTCTACTTCCAGAGGCACATCTGGATCCAGAGAGGTGACATTGTCACTGTCTCACTGTCACTGTCACCCTGTCAGTGCTCCCTCGGTTCAGGAGGCACATCTGGATCCAGAGAGGTGACGCTGTCGTTGTCACATTGTCATTGTCCCGCTGTCACTGTCACATCACTGTCACACTGTCACTGTCACCCTGTCAGTGCCCCCCAGGTTCAGGAGGCACATCTGGATCCAGAGAGGTGACACTGTCGTTGTCATTGTCACCCCGTCATTGTCACAGTGTCACTGTCGCGGTGTCATTGTCACCTTGTCCGTGCCCCCCAGGTTCAGGGGGCACATCTGGGTCAAGAGGTGACACTGCCGTTGTCCTTGTTCCACTGTCACTGTCATTGTTATATTGTCACTGTCACACTGTCATTGTTATATTGTCACTGTCACATTGTCACTGTCCCACTGTCACTGTCCTGTCCCCCCCCCAGGTGACTTCCTGCTCGTGGACCCCATCGAGGAGGGGTCAAAGGTCAAGGCCGAAATCTCGCTGGTGCTGCTCCCCCCCCACGTGCGCTCGCTGCAGCTCCAGGGGCTCTGGTAGGACCCCAAAAACAGCCCCCCACCCCAAAAACCAAACCCCTCCACCCCAAAACACCCCCAGGGGCTCTGGTAGGACCCCAAAACACCCCCCTCAGGCTCTGGTAGGACCCCAAAACACCCCCAGGGGCTCTGGTAAGACCCCAAAACACCCCCAGGGGCTCTGGTAGGACCCCAAAACCAACCCACCCACCCCAAAACACCCCCAGGGGCTCTGGTAGGACCCCAAAACCAACCCACCCACCCCAAAACACCCCCAGGGGCTCTGGTACGACCCCAAAACCAACCCACCCACCCCAAAACACCCCCAGGGG